CAAAAGACATAAATTCCAGATAACAGGGAAACTCTCAGAGGAGAGAGGTGAATGGGTGCCCCAGGCTGGCAGCTGCGTGGCAGGCCTAGAGCAGAATTCACATGGGAACAGAAGAGTGGACTGGCCCCACTCAACCGAAAGAGGCTTGTTCCCACCTAAGAAAAACATAAATCCAAATCGAGAGAGTTCCTGATGTATCTGAACTTATTATGAACATGGTAAAGGTTGTGTCAGAATTTTGTAATAACTTCTGACAGAGCTAAGAATGCATGTGAGAACATATTAACATAAAGGCTGATTTAACCAAAATTTGTAACATAGCTGTCTTGGGAGGGTGTGGAACAGCACAGTGTGTGCATGAGCGCACGTGCGCGTGCATGAGCGAGCCGGTTCCTTTACTTCTACAGTGAGAAGGCAACAAGCGACGGAAATGGAGAAGGTTTAAAATGGAAAAGCCAGGAGACGGTGGTAAGTCATGCGGTGTGGAAATACGAAGGAACACTCGAAAGACGGGAAAGTGGTTGCCTTCTGAGTGGGGCAGAGTTTCAACTACCTGCCTACTTTAGATTATATGTGATACCATATAGCTTAAAAGTTATATACAAGCCAGATCCATTCCCCTTGTGCCTTTCAGAATTTGTAGGTAAGTGGAACCAGGTTGCACACAGTGACTTTCACCTTATTTTAAAGCAGGAAAAAGCCCAAGCGTTTCTGATGATTTAAAAGCTGCATGTTCAGCAAATGCAAGCGATTGTGATGAAGAATGGGTTTGAAGTCCGGGCAGGTGAGTAAGGGTTGGTCCAGCCATTTCAAGTGAGAGAAAGTTTACAGCACATTAAAGGGGCAAATAGAAATTGCTATAACTCAGGGGATTGCCTGGAAACACATGAATCTCTCACCAAACAGACATCGGAGCATGTTCTTGTGGCCGTTCCACCCACTCACACTAGAGCGAATTACTTCTCTTACGGAGACTGAGGATAATTCCATAATGAATCAATCCATTAGCTCAACACACAATTATTAAGCACCAATAATTGCCACCCTTGAGGAAGCTAATTAGTCAGGAAAACACTGCCAGACCAGAGTCATCTTTCAAGATCATCAAAGTTACTTGTAATTAATGAATTCAGCCCAGATCCCCCCCTCAGCCAGGGTCTGAGAGAAGAGGATTAAAGGGGATCAGAGAAGCAAGATTGAGGGGGACAAAGCCAGGAGAGTGCACGTGAGGGCCAAGTTCACCACCATTGAGGCCGTGTGACTCAGTGACCTTAGTGTCTCTGAGGCCGTAAGTCTTCATGGGAACAGGGAGCTGCAGCTTCTCCCCTCGAGGCAGCTAGTGCCATCTGAACCGCCCATCTGTGGTTGGCAGCCCGGCAC